CATGTCATGTCATGTCAGTTTTTGTTTTATTAGTCTGAAATGATTATTGATGTGTTGTATCTGATTGCAGGCAATGTAAGTGTACATGAATATATGTTTGTTTGTTAATTTCTAATATTGTGTGTTTGAGAACAAGTTCATTGTCTCATTGTGTCATATTTACAAAGATCTTTATTTTACAATAGAATCTAATAAAAATAATAATAATTTACATATCTCTAGGTACCATAACATCAAAAATATCCTCATAAGACTCAATAACAATTTCATTAAATATTGGTAATTATAATCAGGAAAATTCTCATTTACAAAAATACTTTAACATTCTGAATCTTGATACAGCCCCCAAAACAGGTGTATATTTCCCTCCCTAAGTCTCCAGTTGCCAAACTTATGGAGGGCAGTGTACATTGATTTTATTGATAGCATATAAAAAATTTAAAGAGAAAGATGTCAACATTGAACTCAGCTGTTGTTATTTTACGATGCCTCATTATTGACAATGCTGTTATATTCTTCAACAAGCAGGCAAGGGAGATCTCTTCCCATGATTCAAAGCCAACATCATGTGTTTCAATCCGACCAATCAAATCAAAGGATTTAATCAAACTCATTAATTTTAGATAGCTTTTTATTACCTTAATCCAACTAGATTCTTTAGGTTAAGGAATCATTCAGTATTATATGGAAACAGGAAACGGACCATAATTCGCAAAACACATTTTTATTTGATAGAGTGCATCAAGTATTAGACATGGACTAATAAATTGTTTATGTTGAATTGAACAATTGATGCTTAATATGCAACAGTAGAATTTGTTTTAACAGTATTGTTTCTGGAATAAGGTAAGGTACTATTTATGTATAATGATTTGCCTATAAACAGTACAGTATATGGAGGTGTTCAGAAGCTAAATATCATGAAAGCAGAATTATTGCAATCTTTTTATACATTTGTTGGCTGTTTGTGATTTTAGATGTTTCTAGTATAAAAACTAGCAAACAAACATTTGAGCGATTGAGAAAACTTACAAAAACAGTATGCAATAAACATAAACAATTTTTCTATTGTTGTTACAGTTACTGTAAAAAATATTTTAGTTTACATGATGCAGTTTGCAGGCCTGTCAACTTGGGAACATCTAACATGAGTGACTTGGAAATGTTGAACACTCCCCTCAAAATGTGGACACCTTGGTCCAAATCTGAACACCTTGATCCAAATTTTGAACACCTTTGTTTAAATTTTATTACATCTTGCCAAATTTTGAACACCTCACATTTTTCGCGCTAGCTACGCTAGCGTTTCAAACATCCATCAACGGGAGGGGGGGGGGGGAGGTACGAAAAATTTCAAACGGAATGTGTGACATATACTTAATTCGCGTGAAAAGTCCGAACGAAATGCGTACTTTTTTTCCGGCGTTCGTATTTTTGCTGTGTAGACGATCTTTTTTAGAAATTTTTCTGCAGAAATATTTTTGCTTGACGATTACCAGGTAAAATGCGTATTTGCGTGACATTTTCTGTCACGCAAAAATAACTGGCGTGACTTCAAATTCTTCAGCAAATGCGTGACAAATACGCAAATTGCGGGACAGTTGACAGGCCTGCAGTTTGAGTCTTCAGGAATAGTTACTCATGGCTGTGATTTTTAATATAAAATCTATTGCAGGGTGAGATAACCTCTAACTTAATGGCTTATTTATTTTCTAATGCAATTTTAGATACATTATCAGTCTGGTGTGAAATATTATTTTTCGAATAATGCGAAATACTGATGAAACAATACTTGTCTTCATGGTACCCGCATGGACCAAACAGCACCAGGATTGAACCAAATTACAAAAACCTAAAACTCTGTAAAACTCATAATTGAATATTGACTCGTCTCTAGGCGCTCAGTAGGGATATAAGGCTATATCAACCTTATATTTACCTAATTATCAATTGAACATTTGTTTTACACCATGGAGTGGGAAATCAAACATAGAAGTGTTTATATAAAGACAAAACTCATAAAGTCAAGTTGTCATAGCCTCAAACTACAATTACCTTGCAGAATTTCATTATCGTTTTTGTATTGTAAATCAATCATAGATGGTCTTTATCTCCAGTGTCAGATAATTCAATGTTTGTTTATTACTTTTTAGACTAAAGTTATGTCACTCTATCAACATAACCTTTTTACTCCATCGAGTGACAAGATTTTTGCCACAAAAGAAACGATCCCGATATATAAGACATTAGTAATCTGTAATAGAATTTTGAGCTGAAACTAAAACTTTTACAATTTTAATGCAGTATTTACAAATCATATTTTAAAATGTGAAGAATGAATGAATGCTAAAAGATCACAAAATTAAGCATCCTGCTATTCAAATAAAGTTAAAAATAAAGTTAAAGTCGAAATCTGGCACAAATGCTCTGGTTTCAAACATATTTCAGAGCCTAGAGCAGTCCAACGTTTATCAAATTGTCTTTTAAATTATTGGCCAATAAGATGATTAGACTGATTTGACAATGAGTTTCTCTATACTTGTCAGCTCATTTTAAATAAGGATTTGAAAAAAAAATGACACTTTCAGGGTTCGTATATTCTGTGTTTTTGGGTTTGATTACATTCTTCAAATGAAGACTCTAAATATTTATTATCAGTTTTTTTTCTTTAAATCTATAATACATTCTTTATTAGGGGGGCTACCATTATACAACTAGAGAATGATCTCTTGTAAAACTAGTAATGAAATGTTAAAAGTTCACGACTGGCCTGGATATATTGTGTCAAAAGGTTTAAACCAACATGGCATGTCAACAAAGCCACTCTATTACCCAGAGATCAGTAGCTTTTAAGAAATGTCCTGTCGTCCTGATAGGGCTGACTCAGAACAGATTTCGCCTTTGAAAGGATTAATAATGAATATTGTTTGTACAATAAATAGTTGGTCACTCAGTACATGTTTGTGAGATACTGTCTGTTTCATTCTTTCACACATGCATATATTTATTTTTTATTCATGTATTATAGACAAATATGGAATTAGGTCTGTAACATATAAAATGTTCAGTGGTTGTGCCAGAAATTACCATTACCGTTATATATTTTTTATTTCATTATTTATTTATTTATTTAGAACTATGCTTTTGTATCAGCGGCACGCTTTCACAGGTGCGTCTTCACAATAAAACATAATATATCTAAAACTAAGTCTTAAGAATCTTTAAGATTGCACTAAAACTTTAGTGGTTAAAATAGGTTTGCTATGAGACTAAAATACTAAATAACTAATACATCTTAAGTAAGAACATCTCCATCTATAAAAACAAGGTCTCTGCCTTTCAAAGTTATACCCGGCCGTTCAAATTTATACTAAACCAATCAAAGTTATGCCAAATTTATACCAAGCTTTTTAAAGTTATGTTAAGTCTTTCAAAGTTATGTCAAGGTTATGTTAAGTTATACCGAGCCTTTCAAAGTTACACTTAGCCTTCCAAAGATATACCGAGCCTTCCAAAGTTATGCCAAGCTTTGAAGTTATACCAAGCCTTTGAAAGTTATACTCAACCCTCACAGCCATTCTTTGGAATGGTATTAAACCACTTAACTATTATTGCTTAGATATATAGATAGATCACACATGGGGGATAATACCATGTGTATTCTAATCTACTATAAGGATAAATCCATGATCTAATCTCTAATAAATATTTAAGTGAATGCTGTCATACTTTTGTGAATCTTGACTATTATGATCATAGATGAACTTGTTCTCATGCTTAAATGCCTTTTAACTCTCTAAAATACCTGACCATTACGCACCTTCTCTAGGGGTAAAGGAGATAACGGATGGGTCAAGGGAGTCAGGAAACTTTATGCAAGACTAAGAGACTAAGTTCAGTGCATGCAGTTCGTCACACAATAGAAGTTGACAAGGGGATTATTTTTTGGGTTCAAAACTTAGGCCCCACTTTTGAAACTGGAAAGACCATTTTCAAAAATTATGGCCTTTTCCAAAGAATATTAGTGCATATTATATCAAAATGAGGGACAAAATAACATTAATCACAACATCAAATTGATTTAATCCAATATGAAGAAGATCCAAACCCTCGTCAGGTCATAAACATGCACAAGGTCAGCATACAACTACAAAGTGTATAATAAGAGAAATATTGGAAAACTGTCACCTAACTGACGTATTTGTTGTCAATATACAAACTGAGAAATATACTGATTAGCGCACTTGACAGTTGAAGACTTTAAGTATCATTCTCAGATAGCAAACTTGGATTACTTTCAACAAATGTTCATGCTGTCATGAAATGTACACTGCACTTCATAAGTTTGGCAATTGGAAGTTTTCGTTGGATAGCAACTCAAAGCATGTCATTGTTTCAATCTGAATTTTACTCCTTAATTACAATAGATCGGAAATTTATGACAGATTTGATGAAATTTAAAATTTGTTAGTTAAACAGCTTTGGTAAGTGATCCAGAATGGGATTTCCAGTTGCCAAACTTATGGAGGGGAGTGTATGAATGATAATCCCTATATATTATATGCTGAATGGTTGCCTATTTATACCTTTAAATAAATCATAGATGCATCAACTGAATATGTTCTTCAGGTTAGATTTAAAAATACATTTTTACATACAGTAAAACCTATAAAACACAAAATAAAACCTAAAAAGTTCTACTTTGGAGGTGTTTAACTTACAGAGTACATTTTACGTTAAGAAAATTGGTTAAAGGATTTGATAACAATTTCCACTTGCAGAGTTGTTCCACTTTCATAACTGTTCTACTTTTTCTTAAAGGTGTTCCATTTGACAGGTGCACATGGATAAAAGTCTCTTCATATGGAAGTGAATTTGAAAGAAGGTTAATTAAGAAAGAATATGATAAACAGGCATGAAATCAGCAAAATAAATCAGCTCATATCATAAAATAATATTTATTATTTTGCCAGGTAAAATATTATTGCAAGGGTCTAAATAGAACATGTACATTAGATTATAAGAGCCATAAGATAATGCTAGTAAAATTGATACATTGAAATGTACAAAATCAGATAAACGGAACTGTTATTGATTTAATAAATGGACAACATGAAACAGTTATAGTATTAGGTAAACATCCATTATGGAACAATAAATATCCTAAGGAAAACTAAGGTTTGTACAGCACTCGTATACTCAGTAATGTTATTGTATTTTAATTAGACACAACATTTTAATAGATTCAGTAATTTTCTTACTGTACAATATGTACTCTTGTAGGCTCTGAGTTCCAATCTTAAGATATAAAAGTTACTGTATATTAATTATTGAAGGACTTTGTGAAATCTTAATCCATGGAGGTTTTTCATACATATAACCGAAGAATGTGCTGGTTTCACACTATGACTTTGTGAAAGATTATTCATCTTGTAGATCTAATAAGATTATTCTAAATTCATCATATCAAACTTGGTTTATGTAGGATATTTATGAAAGGAATTCATTTCAGTAACAAAAAAAAATATACAGGATTTTTTTTTATTTTCAGATATGCAACTGAAGTCATAGTATCATAGTTATTATGACATCACAATGTAAAATGAGCTAACAATAATGTCTACACTGATGGCCCAAGTATACGGAGGGTCGAGCCAGATGGGGCGTCTTCTACAGCAAGAACAGCGACTCCTAGGACGCGAGATGAAAGGTGAATCTCTGCCAAATATAAAACAAACTCATGATGTCAAAGACTCTGAGTTCAACAATAATGATGTCACAATGAAGTCACAAAGTTATCATTTTGCAGAGGATTTCTTTCGCAAGGAACCTTGTTTGTATAGCCATAATGTATTTATGAAAGCCGGGCAAGTTTTTGCTTCGTTACGTCATGAAGCGAAAGAGGAAAATGCCCTTATAAGGAAAAGACAGGAACAATCAGATAGACAGCAAATCAAATTGCCAGATATAGATTTTGAATCTGAGGGAGAGAAAAGACTCGTCTTCGATCTGGCATTTAGTGCTTTAAAATGTAAGTTGACATTTTTATTTCAGTTACAATCAATAATTATTAAGTATGTATTCACCAGAAAAGACTATTTTTTAATTATAAATAAATACATGAAAGTTGACCTTGTATATAGATTTTAAAACTTTCTGCAATTTTTTTGTTGTTGTAAAATATAACACTATTTAAAAAAAATTGATATGACCAATATTGCAATTTTTATATAGTTATCCATGATAAGTTTGTATTTTGACCTAGTTTTGCAGTTTGACCTAGTTTCCATGTGAGCCCTGACCATTTATGTCATTTACACATACACTTCCCAATACCTAAATCAATATAATGGCGAATACATTACAGTCTAAAATTGTAACAAAGTCAGTATATTTATCAGATAGGTAAACAGTTTCGTGATTATTTATTTTATTCTGTAGGGTCAATTCCAAACTCAAAGATAGCTAATAATTATACATGTAGAGCATTGTAATCTATTGATACATGGATAATATTCTTGCATGGTTACTACAAGTTAGTGTCTCACAATTGAAGTATAAATTAAATATCAATATGTATGATTGCAAAATCGAAAAATGTCTGAAGTATCAATCAGGTTGTGCTCAGGTCAGGATACCCATACAATTTTTTTTATCTCACAAAGGAATGTTGATGCTATTCTAATTTCTAAAATAGAATTAAATTAAAAGATAGATTTAAATTAAAAAACCAAAAAGTCAAAAATTTATGAGGTGTTTGGAATATGCTTTCAATAAATGCAAAGTGACTTATTTTTTTGAAATTAAGAAAAGAATTTATTCTCGATATATATCTGCCTTTTCCTAAAACAAATAGCTTATGCTATTAAGAAAAATAAATGTAGTAAGGGTTTCACTAATATTTCTCACAACAGGCTAAATAAATGAAAACACCAGGCAATATTAGTGGAAATCATAAATTTAACATGGAAAAGTTGAAAAGTCCCTAAAAACAACAGGCGATTTTGTGAAAACAACCAGTGAAAATCGCCTGTTGCCTGCTGCTAATGAAACCCCTGTGTAGTATAAGCAAAAGGGGCCAAGTCATAGTAATGAAACCCTCATCAAAGAAGAAATAAAATCAAACTTGGGTATGACCCTTTGTTTTAGGGTTTGAAACTCACAACTGCCAAACTGCCAATGGCAGCTACTTTTCACTTTTGGCAGTGAACTTAGAAAAGGTATATATATAACATTGTATAAGGCTTTGGACTGAACATGGGCTTGGACTGAATGACTATATGTTAATCTGTGTCAGTAATGTTTTGAACCTTAGTTTAGTTCTTTTAGTTGCTAAAAAATGTTTAAGATTTATTTTGACGCAACCCCGCATTGATCGTTATTGTTACCTGACAACAATGATAAGCTACCTGGATACAATAAAGAGGTAATTAACACATAAATTTACTGTTTCATTAACCTTTGATCCAATCATAATGACTCTTCATGTTTATACTTCCCCTTTAATAAAATATACCAGAGATATCTTGTGTATGAATGGAGAAAATGTGAAAAGAGGGGGATAATTGTTGAAAAGTGTACAAAACAGACATATCAACACTATACAGATGTATTTAATTTATCACGATAAGTTTTTTCAAGAAATGTTTTGCAATAAGTGTGACAATCTCATTATGGTTCTGAGCAAACTGCAATATTTTCTGATTCTTAATTGGGGATTTATAAATGCTCTACCATATGGTAAATTAGTTGAAGGGAAATATTCTGGAAAATAGCTAAATAAAAGGGAAATATATGACCAGAGAAAATACATGAATATTGATAATGTAATAAAATGTAAATTTTGATTCATGTTGTAAATATACCATTGTAATTTCCAGCAGACTTCTAGCAAAGTGGTGTTTCTGCCCCTCCACCAGTGCCCCACCCTGATCTCCCTTCCCTTAAAAAGCTGCCTCGTAGTTAAGGGATTCAAGGCTAAGGTCTTAGATGATACATGAAAGCAAGGTGTACTTAATGGACAGATGACCTTCTTTTTCATATTCTTTATATTCTTACACTTTATTGTTATTGGATTATACCTAAGATTATCCACTTAGGTTACCATAGCAACCAATACAAATAGCCATATATTTTCCAACTTGTTTTTATCACAAGGAAAAGGGTATTGAGGCCTAGAAAATCGCTTCAGATTAATTTCATGGAAATTCACTGAATGAGCGGTTAAGAACTACACTAAGAATGCAATAGAGAGGCTTTAACTTGTACTTAAAATATACATTTTCCATGCTTTTTCCATGTTTATTTCTCCCTAATAGAAATGAGAATCCAATTTTATTTATTTTTACTGTTATTCATCCTATGGACTCCTTGCCTGTTTATTTTATTCAATGTTTGTTTCACCCATTTTCACTCAACTTCATTTTTGAAATAATGCAACTATGATGTTGAATTAATGGGAAAATCCAATTGAACGTCTGAGTCCTGATTAAATAACATTTTTCTTCTATTATTAACGACAGAATGGATGGAATAAAATTATATTAGAATAAAACACTTGAGTTAGATAAATACCCATACTTCAGTTGTAATGACACAGTTCAGTCGTTTCAATTCCTATTTATCTAGTTACAAAGAACCACTTAATGTAAATTCTGTGACGAAAAAAAGAAATTACCCGCCTTCAGCTATTTTCCAAATGCCATTCATTAAATGCTCGATTTTCATTATTGATGCGAAATTCAATTCTAATCTAATTTTTCCATTGTTCAATATTATATTACAATATACAAGAAAGATTATCTTTACAATTAAGTTATGATTTCAATCAGAAAAAATCACCCACCCACGTCACATGGCAGGGGCTTAATTAGAATTAAAGATGACATGAATGAAAACATGCGGGCAAAATTCTTGAAAATTACAATTTTAACAATCGCAAAATTCCTCAAAACAAGAGACCAAAAACCCTGTTATGCAGCCGAAAAGGTACTCTTATCACTGGGTAAATCACAGTTGGTAGTCTTGCATCAAATATGTGGGAAATAAAAAAGGGAAGGGGAATCCTGATGCAACACTGCACGGTTGATGGTTTGATACAATGTATTTTTCCATTTTGGTTCATACCACGATTGGTTGTCTAAGCCTTTTTATCACACTTTGAAAGAGTGCTCTATTGTCATTGTCGTGTGGTGATGGATGTATGTCTGTATGGGTAGCTGGGCAGGTGCAACAATAAAACTTGTTTGATCAGTTGTAAATGTTTGCTATGTGACAGAAAAGTATCAAATTCCTACATTCAGTAAGCAAACAATGAAATAAGGTGGAATATACATTATATCTATATAATGTTCACCATGTCTTTAATAAAATAGATTATTTTAGATTTCATTTTTGTTGTTTCAGACCAAGACCTTCTTGAAGTGATGCTAGATGACTGCGCATTCTTCAGTCTTTACTCAGAGGTAAGTCTTTGAAAGCTTTTGGAGGGATTCACTCATTTATGTGCAGAAAAAATGTCAAGGGAAACATTTAAGTCGAGCACCTTACAAGAGGAACACCTCTGTAAGTTTAGCACCTTACAAGTTGAACACCTCTATAAGTTGATTACCCTACAAGTGGAACACCTCTGTAAGTTGAGCACCTTGCCAGTGGAACACCTCTGTAAGTTGAACACCTTGCAAGTGGAACATCTCTGTAAGTTGAACACCTTGCAAGTGGAACATCTCTGTAAGTTGAACACCTTGCAAGTGGAACATCTCTGTAAGTTGAACACCTTGCAAGTGGAACATCTCTGTAAGTTGAACACCTTGCAAGTGGAACATCTCTGTAAGTTGAACACCTTGCAAGTGGAACATCTCTGTAAGTGGAACACCTTACAAGTTGAACACCTCTATAAGTTGATTACCCTACAAGTGGAACACCTCTGTAAGTTGAGCACCTTGCCAGTGGAACACCTCTGTAAGTTGAACACCTTGCAAGTGGAACATCTCTGTAAGTTGAACACCTTGCAAGTGGAACATCTCTGTAAGTTGAACACCTTGCAAGTGGAACATCTCTGTAAGTTGAACACCTTGCAAGTGGAACATCTCTGTAAGTTGAACACCTTGCAAGTGGAACATCTCTGTAAGTTGAACACCTTGCAAGTGGAACATCTCTGTAAGTTGAACACCTTGCAAGTGGAACATCTCTGTAAGTTGAGCACCTTGCAAGTGGAACATCTCTGTAAGTTGAACACCTTGCAAGTGGAACATCTCTGTAAGTTGAACACCTTGCAAGTGGAACATCTCTGTAAGTTAAACACCTTACAAGTTGAACATCTCTGTAAGTTGAACACCTTGCAAGTGGAACATCTCTGTAAGTTGAACACCTTGCAAGTGGAACATCTCTGTAAGTTGAACACCTTGCAAGTGGAACATCTCTGTAAGTTGAACACCTTGCAAGTGGAACATCTCTGTAAGTTGAGCACCTTGCAAGTGGAACATCTCTGTAAGTTGAACACCTTGCAAGTGGAACATCTCTGTAAGTTGAACACCTTGCAAGTGGAACATCTCTGTAAGTTGAACACCTTGCAAGTGGAACGCCTCTGTAAGTTGAGCACCTATGTTATTATGTTAATGAGCCTTTTTAGGTGAAACACTTTTCTGTAAAACAAAGGGCATTCCACATAGACGGTTTAACTGCACAAAAGTCGTTGACCAGATTGAGAATTATCATTTCCTCTTATTTACATAGCGACAATTGAACTTTTAGGTTTTTTTATTTTAACATGCAATTTGAGCCCCTATTAATTATCAGATTTATGGTTGTAATAAAGCAAGTTCACCTTAGAGAGCCTGAAGGGAAAGATTCTCCAGTAGAGTTTATTCTGAAAAAAGATTGATTAGTCTGATAACTCCTGAATAAATAGTGAATGATCTTGTTTTCATGAATATTCCATGCGATACAATTTTTCAATACTTTGAAGTTAAGGGTTGCAATGTTTATTCATCTTGAGTATAAAAAACTTTCTAAAATCATTTACATTTTTAATACCATGTACAGTAATGTTTTTACTAAATGCTATTAGTTTTGCTGTGTGACCTTTATATAATATATCTGCATCTGTGTAGTTGAAATTATTTTAAATCTTTTTTAATCAATAATACAATGATTTTAGTCAACTTACAACGTCTTAAATAATACCAACTACATTTTTTATCTTCATGTAACTGTATCTTAAATGGACGCACCAATTTTGTGTGCCACTGTTGTAAAAGTGTAGTTTCCAAATAAATATATGAAATATATAATAAATGAATATTGGGCTTAAATGTCACTGTGATAAATAGTTTCCATTAATGTGAACACCACAAAATATGAACATTTCCAAGAGTGTTCACATATTTTTATGTCACCACCAACAACTGGTGGCTCGGGGTGGTTGCATATTGTTACAGCCACAATTTTTGTAACCCACATTGACATTCAGCATCTGCATCTGTAACGATCGTTACACTTTTGTCATTGCAACCAGGTTGTCACATTTGATATATAAAAATTATTTAAAGTGTTCCTATTTATATCAATTAATTCTCATATTGTAGTTCAAGGATGATGAGGGCATCGTCATGGTGATGTTATATGACTTCCAACACCGCAAGTTCCAGCAACGGACCCCTCTCCGGCACGAGATCCTGGATGATGAACTAACCGACATAGAAAAAGCTTTAAACAAATGTAAAACAAAAATGAATGCCTCATTGGCTCGCAATAGGATCAAATCATCTGCCCTGTCACTTGATCATTTACTCCCTGATAATGTCAGAAAGAATGAAGAAGTCTCCGTATCTTTGCCAATATTTGCCTGGGTGAACCTCATCAAAACAAGGTACAGTGTCAAATTTAAGAAATGTTGTTTATGAATGGGTTGTAACATGAGAGCTGACGGTAGATTACATGACCTACACAATGAGATTTTTTATGTAATTTCCACAAATATAATTTTTACCAGTTTTTTTTTATAAGTATTTTTCAAAATTTTCAATAATGTTTTCACATTTTTATGTGGAAATGTACAAATTATGGTAGAATACCTTGTTCAAAATGTATATGGTAGTTAAAAACCCAGTTCTTTTTAACTTTTTTGTGAACACGCCAAACTACCTTAAATCCAGCATGGGGGTGGTTTGTGGTTAATATCATTAAGGATACAATCGTGATCTGGATGACCTTGTGTTGATGTGTAGAGGACATTCATTTTATCTACTTACCTATTATATGGTTCTCAATCACAATTAATAAGGCATTACAGTATAGAGATTGTTGTTAATTATATCTAAGCTTTTCTTGAGGCCTTATTAGCATTGGCCATTTCTTCTTGTTTTCTGCAAGTTGAAATTATGAATTCTGAAATTGAAACTAATGACTTTTTGATGAAAATTATAGAAATAACACCCAAATTAAATTATGGATATTCAAAAGAGGACATTTAAATCTACAATATGTAAAAATATTAAAATTGTCCAAAGCAACCGTAACATGCAGTAGACTGATGAACTTCCTTCTCCAAACCAAGACTAGTCTTTTGTCCTTTCCTCAGGAAATCCTGCTGAAATTACAAAAATTCAAAATTCTGCAAACCTTTGGGCCATGGTAAATTCTGTCTGTGCCTTTGAAATGGATTGGACATATATAATATGTTTGTGGACTGATGGTTTTTACACTTTTTCATTTGGAATGTTATGTGGTGACATTATGGATCTGTATAGATTGTTGAATGATACTTTCATTTGTTTTGCAGTGTTGTCCTTTCCGAAAATAGACTCATATGAATTATTCATAAATAATCAAATGTTTGTAATCAAAATATAATGATAACTGTGACATTAGAATGATAACTGTGACAATATAATGAGAAGTGTAACAATATAGTGATAACTGTGACAATATGATGATAACTGTGACAATGATAACTGTGACAATATAATGAGAAGTGTAACAATATAGTGATAACTGTGACAATATGATGATAACTGTGACAATGATAACTGTGACAATATAATGATAACTGTGACATTAGAATGATAACTGTGACAATATAATGATAAGTGTAACAATATAATGATAACTGTGACAATATGATGATAACTGTGACAATATAATGATAACTGTGACATTAGAATGATAACTGTGACAATGATAGCTGTGACAATATAATGATTACCATTATATTAAAATGATAACTGTGACAACATAATGATAACTCTAACAATGATAACTGTGACAATGTAATGATAACTCTAACTATGATAACTGTGACAAATGACTTCATAATTGCAATCCATATATCTTAAAGTCATACTTATACATCAAAACATTCAATTAAGTATCCTACTGTTTGATATGGCTAGCTCTTTAATCGTGAAATATTTCCCCATTGGGCTCTTTAGAAATGAACCCAATAATAACGTGCATGACAGAGGCCAATAAATTATTCAAAAAATCACTGTGCTCTTTATTCAGGGAATTGTTCTGTAGAGAAAATCCTCCCAATAAAATTGTATTTGTGTTCATGTTTGGTTAATGCAATATTGAGGAAATGAGTGAAATAAACAAGTAATGAATCATAAAAGTGATAAAAATAACAATACAATTGTATCAAAATGAACACTTTTTCAATTTTGGAGGGATAAAACATGGAATGAGGGTAGTTAGGGGGAAATTTTAAGCAGGGACATTACCTGTAGGGGAATGTCATTCACTCAAGTAATTATCATCATTCGTATGTCTCTCAGTATTGTATGAAACAAGTGAAAATAGATTGGACCAATAATACTAGTAGGCAACCATAACAGTGTTATACTTTTTTTTGAAATCATATTTATTATATTAATCCGTTCATCTTTTCTTGCTATGTGCAAATTACTCAATGAATCATATAATTCAATAATTTTGTGAAAAGTCTTGTCAGTTCAACTTAAGATACTGAATGTTTATAATTTACTTCAATTGTTTACTTTCAGTGTGTCCCTTATACTTGATTCATTCCGTGATGAGGGTTTCACGGTGGTTGGACCCGAAGACCCCTTCAACAAGAGAACACTGAGTGTAGACCCCCACTGTAATGATGTCCTCGTATTCTCATCAATTGATCGAGAATTTTTGATGGACCATGTGCTTGTAAGAGAGGGACACCTTATCCTACAGGTATGAAATGTAATTAATGCAAATGTTGCAAAAGTTAGATAGAATGCCAGGGGCGGATCTGGGAACCAACAAGGGAGCCCCAATTTCCAGTCCGAAAAAATATCACGCAAGTGTGGAAAAAATTTTGGCTCCTAAAACCAAATAGAGGGCTCAAATTTTGAAAATTTAAGGCCAATTTCCTTGATAATTTGGCCTAGAATTTAAAAATAAGGCCTTAAAGGCCCAGTAATGCCCAAAAAGGCCCACTAATCGGGCTTTTAAAAAAAAGATTTTGGCCCAATTTTTTTCTGGGTCAACCCAAGGGGGAGGGCAGCCCATTCCCAGTGATCCACCAGTGAATACTCCTCAGAGAGATTAGGTAACTTTGTTTTGGTAACCTCTGATCACCAATGTAAACACAAAATGACCTTTTTATGCTCATCTGTTGAACAATCTCTGCTATATGTATTGTTGTTTCAGTAAGATTTTCTGATATATTTTTTGAGGCAAGATATTTTGGATCAAAGTGTTCTTGAGTATAACAACATATCAGTTTTCCATGATTGGTCTCAGTCTGCCTTGAATCCATTGACAATTTCTGGACTCACATGAAAATTTGCTGGATCAACGCAACCCAACCAATTACCATGATCTCCATTTGGCCCATTTCTACTTATGGTATATGTTAAAACTTAATATTTTAAAAAGATGATTGTTAATATCAAGTGTATGATTTTCATCTTTTCTGTTTTAGGACAAGTCTAGTTGTTTAGGTCCACATTCTATCAAGGCCTTACTGAATGACGGAGATGATGTTTTGCATGTAAATGTAGGGTCAGGAGCTACAACTGCCCACCTCTCCAGCCTCACCCAGAACACTGACACAAACATTGTTGGCCTGGGGGTCAAGTCTGACAAACACCTGAGGGAAATAAAGCATAAATTGTCTCATCTGGGAGCCAAAAGTAAAGAAATATTTATAACATTGTACTTGTTCATTTTTCAACATGGCTAACAATTTGCTAAGTATATTCAATATGCACATAGTTAAGCCGCCATTTGGTTCAGTCTTTATATACAATATGCACATGGTTAAGCCACCATTTGGTTCAGTCTTTATATACAATATGCACATGGTTAAGCCACCATTTGGTTCAGTCTTTGTATACAATATGCACATGGTTAAGCCACCATTTGGTTCAGTCTTTATATACAATATGCACATGGTTAAGCCACCATTTGGTTCAGTCTTTATATACAATATGTACATGGTTAAGCCGCCAGTTGGTTCAGTCTTTTATATACAATATGTACATGGTTAAGCCGCCATTTGGTTCAGTCTTTATATTCAATATGCACATGGTTAAGCCGCCATTTGGTTCAGTCTTTGTATACAATATGCACATGGTTAAGCCGCCAGTTGGTTCAGTCTTTTATATACAATATGTACATGGTTAAGCCGCCATTTGGTTCAGTCTTTATATTCAATATGCACATGATTAAGCCGCCATTTGGTTCAGTCTTTATATATAATATGCACATGGTTAAGCCGCCATTTGGTTCAGTCTTTATATACAATATGCACATGGTTAAGCCGCCATTTGGTTCAGTCTTTATATACAATATGCACATGGTTAAGCCACCATTTGGTTCAGTCTTTGTATACAATATGCACATGGTTAAGCCACCATTTGGTTCAGTCTTTATATACAATATGCACATGGTTAAGCCGCCATTTGGTTCAGTAACAATATGCACATGGTTAAGCCGCCATTTGGTTCAGTCTTTATATATAATATGCACATGGTTAAGCCGCCATTTGGTTCAGTCTTTATATACAATATGCACATGGTTAAGCCACCATTTGGTTCAGTCTTTGTATACAATATGCACATGGTTAAGCCACCATTTGGTTCAGTCTTTGTATACAATATGTACATGGTTAAGCCACCATTTGGTTCAGTCTTTATATACAATATGCACATGGTTAAGCCACCATTTGGTTCAGTCTTTATATACAATATGCACATGGTTAAGCCACCATTTGGTTCAGTCTTTATATACAATATGCACATGGTTAAGCCACCATTTGGTTCAGTCTTTATATACAATATGCACATGGTTAAGCCGCCATTTGGTTCAGTCTTTATATACAATATATGCACGGTGGAGTCACTAGTTTGGTCTATTGAATAATAGCATTATGACAGAATTTAAAGAAGGTATGTTTTCTTTCAGATGTTAAAATGTACAGTGATGACATTGCTGATATTGAGGCTGACGACCCCCGATTTAAACATATCAAGATAGTTCTGATGTCCGCAGAGTGCAGTCGAAGTGGGATAACCAATCCTGTCGACTTTATCGTCAATGAAGGCGAAGGTACAGTAGTTGACCAATAAGGTGCCAGATTGTCCAGGGTATACTTTTGTAAATAATGTGGTAGGAGTGAATATTTAAAGGCACACAGCAATTGTAGAATGCATGTCCTTGTACCCATAATTTTAAATTGTTTATTGAAACATCTAATACCATGTGAATGATCATTTTTTGAGAAATGATTTAGGCTTGAAAAAGTTTTAGAAATCATGGAATAGTTGCTTTTGCTAATCATGTTAAGTGCGTCTCCAACTAATATTTAAATTTAGATATTTCAACTGACATCTTTATTAAGAAAATGGAATTATTATGTAAAATCTAATTTGTAAATGTTTTACATTTTCATACTAGTGGCATCATGCAATGAAAAGTCAACAGGTAGAATGTTGTAGAATGCAAGCACTGAGCTGAGACACACATTTTAATCCTATTGTACTGTATTGTTGATTTGCCGCTTATTTTTAAGAAAGTTACAAAAATATGCAGCATTTCATGAATTTAGTGTCTCCCACCTTTGCACTTATTTTATTATACAGCACAATTTTCAGATAAAATTTGAAATATAATTTATTATCAGTATGTCTAAATATTTGTATGATCTTGCACCTGCAACATTTTGATAGAAGTGATTTTTTTTCTTTTACATCTGATGCACCTAATATGGTGCTAATTTGCTGATGTATATGGCTGTATATTATAACATATTATATATGGCTGTATAATATAACATACTATATATGGCTGTATATTATAACATACCATATATGGCTGTATATTATAACATACCATATATGGCTGTATATTATAACATATTATATATGGCTGTGTAATATAACATACTATATATGGCTGTATATTATAACATACCATATATGGCTGTATATTATAACATATTATATATGGCTGTATATTATAACATATTATATATGGCTGTATATTATAACATATTATCCATGGCTTTTAATGATTATTGATGGATAAAACTTTATTCTATGAATAATGTGCATGAACAAATAATTGCACATTGTGCAAAAAGTAACGGATAAAATCAAGAATCTCATCCAAAAGAGTATCTAAAGATATATATATTCACAATCGCACCAAGACTAAATACTAAGAAAGTGAGAATTATTTATTTCAGAGAAAAAAGTGACAATTTTCTATTTCAGATATGACAATTCTGAAGGATCTCTCCAAAGGCCAAGTGGATGATGAGAAAATAGGAGAACTGGTAGTAAAGCATAACACACAGTTGAGGAATGCCATGAAATGTAAGTCACTTTTAGTAAAACACATTTAGAGTACATCAGCACAGTACCTGTATATCCGACACCTCTCTAATCTGAACACCTCAGAGTAAAGGCTTTTTTAAACTGCCATAGATGTAAAAACTTTGAAAGGTGAACATCTGCCAATCTGAGCTTATAAGGGCTTGTCCAGATGACACTTAAAGACAGGTTTTACTGTATTGCAGTTTGTATCAGAACTACAGTACCACTCCTGGAATCATATTCATATGTAAAATAATTTTGTTCATAGGATTTCATACTCTGCTGCTATTTTATTTTCCACCTTATTTAAATATCTAAGAATAACATTAATTGTTTTAGTTCCAAAAGTGCAAGCTGTTGTGTATACAACTCGCTCTGTCCACGATGTTGAGAATGATGTTGTTGTTGGCAGGGCAACAGAATATGTAAACATGACAACAAAACAGACTCCATTCAGGTAAGTAGATCAGTCAGAAAAAATGTGGCCTGTGAATTTTTATCAGAATATCTGGTTTGTAAAATTCACAAAAGTAATAAAAATGGTTTCAAAATGCCACTTGATATACTTGTAATTCAGGTTAGTTGGTTGTAGAAAAATGTGTTCTCTTAGAGAGCGGCTCTGACAAGGGATTGACTAAGCTTCCTCCCTTCCCTAATTGACTGTTGCTATGTGAACCTCTACACTGAGTATAACAAATGAGACACTTTTTAAGCTAATTGGCCTCGCCTACACTTTTTAAGCTAATTGACCTCACCTACACTTTTTAAGCTAATTGACCTCACCTACACTTTTTAAGCTAATTGGCCTCACCTACACTTTTTAAGCTAATTGGCCTCACCTACACTTTTTTAAGCTAATTGGCCTCACCTACACTTTTTAAGCTAATTGGCCTCACCTACACTTTTTAAGCTAATTGACCTCACCTACACTTTTTAAGCTAATTGGCCTCACCTACACTTTTTTAAGCTAATTGGCCTCACCTACACTTTGTATAATTTTATACACTAAAACCTTCACATTGAACACCTGTAATCTGAACACCTTTCAACTGTGAACACTTTTGACCAGTCCATGTTGTGTTCAGATTAGACAGGTTTAACTGTTTGCTATTTCTCTGTGACCTCATCAATTAACAAAAGTATTTCTATTTCAGAGTTGTCCCCCCTGTGTTACCCCTTGCTGAGAAGGACATTGAAGATGAGGGGGCATTAGTAGGAAAGTATCTGAAGTTTCAACCTACAGAGAGAATGAGTGGCTGTTTTCTTGCTGTCATTTCAAGAGAGGTCATTTATTTACTATAACTTATTTACTTTCTGATTTACATGTACTTTGATAAAGTATTTATTGCGAACAAATTATGTTCTTTCATAAACAAGGTTAAAACAACCTCTATATTTTCAAATATATTTTTTAAGGGACATAAGATATAGTAAAGTTTATGTTTGATAATTGATGTAGAAATTGTAATTATCTTTTATGAAAGTCTAAATTTGAGTCATGAAGGGTACTTGGGGGCATATTTTTGGAACATTATAGGATGATCCACGTGCATTGTTATTGAACCATTGCTTGCTATAGGCTGAGGATCCAAAAGAAGCCGCTAAAGACATCCTAGCTCGGGCAGCGGCACAGGGTCTACTTGGGAGTTCACAGGACACTGGCAAGAAGTCCCAAAGCCAAACAAGATCAACTAAATCTGGAAGGCTTTTACGTAAAAAGAGCGCTCCTAGACGTGCTAAAAGTCTCCACCATCCCCGCTCTAGCCCTACACATAAACCTGAACCACCAGCAGGAGCTTTGGGATCCGCCACGGCAACACCAACAACCACGAAAAGTCTCCATAAGCCAAAGATCCCAAAGATGTCAGTTGGTTCAATAAGTCAACGTTTATATAACACTAATAGGTCTAGAAACCCTCACAGTATCGCCAATCCAACCTCTAAGACCTCCACACCAGAGCATGTTCGCATCGTTCAGCATCCTAAACCATTCAGGTGATTGCCCATTCACATTTTTGCTTTCCTTGGGATAAAATGACTGTATGGTCATGTCTATAAGGGCTGGGGTAAATATCAATTTTTTGGGAAAAGTAGTTCCATTTTGAGGAGTAAAAAATGCCACTTTTGTTAACCTTTAAGCATTGAAATTTTTATGTGTTAGCTAGAAGATGAAGCTCTCCTTTAAATATAGTGTATGAAGGAAAATTCAACTTTGGAAAATGGTAAATAATGTTCTTTTACACTTGTTTTATTTCATTGTCCATAAGCCTTTATATAGGGAGAGAGGGAGGGGGTTGAGTATTTGTTAAATTACTTTCTCGAAAAATTGAGATTTGCCCTTGCATCATAAATAATTTGAAATTGCAAGAAACAGGGAATTACCAAATGGTGTATACACTATGTAAAGTAAAATGTTAATTGCAATTTCACAAATATGACATTTTATATACATGACCATAAGTTTCATTTAAGCATGAATATCACATATTTATATTATTTAATGCCCAATAGTATAAATAAGGAGCTGAGATTCTATTCTAGGAATATTATGTTTTGTACAAATGTTTTTGTGTTAATATTGGACAAAATATTCTCACTTTTTAAATGCCGAAACAGTTACTTGAAATAATGATTATTAAGAAATTGTAAATAATTTTCTTGTTCCACATAGAATCACAGCTCCTTTGGATATGATGTTCCAATATTTACACACTTGGCACTTTACACGTGGACACTTAATGTACATGTACCTGTACTCCAAAAGAAAGCTTGTAACTTATATAAGCTTTATAGACAAACAATTTTCAGATGCTTAGACCTAATTGTAAACATTAAAGGAGGTAGAAGGGATAAGGAATTAGAAAGATCTGGATATCCATTAGATTTCAAATTTTGATAAATTTGGACATTTGTGAATCTTGAATCCTTGATGACCTCCACGGGCTCTATTATTATATATAAGATTAGACAGCTAAACTTTGTCAGAAAATAAAATTAAAACAATTATATGAAGTTTGAAGAGATTGTATTTAACAGTTTACACCATCCATTCCCTTCTAATTCCTTTAAGACACTTTCAACACATTCACAGTATTTTACCTTAATTAAAGATACAGTGTATATATTTACCCCAATGTCAGTATAGACAATCACATTGAAAGTGAATAAGTCAAATAGCACATTGTATTATGACTTGAACTTTTTTTTTAAATATTATATTGAGAAAAGTGATCATAATTATTATGAAGAGACTATTATATCTAGTACTTTTCTTTTGCAATATCATAAAATGTGCCAAAATATTTTATCTTAGTCATTAGCATGTAGATGTCCAGTGTTATTATTTTGAAATTTACTCACAAACATAGTGTCAAAAATAAAACCAAACTTTTGTGTATTATCTTCGAATGATAATGACAAAATAGAACACCAACTTAATTAGTATTTTTTATCCTATCTTATAGTTAACGAGTAGGAGTAAGTCTTTAGGAATTTGTCTTGCATCATGTCTTTAACCCACCCTCCCCCTACCTATTTTCTTATATATTTAGGAAAATATGGGAGAATGGCTAACAAGGGTTGGATGCAAGACTATTGGAAAATTTGAACTCATAGCTTTTTATATTGTAAAAGTCACTGGTGGAAAGTTGATTTTAATGCTCCATAAATGATATGAAGCAATAAAACCAAATATTGACTTATGTAACTTTTATATGCAATATGTGATGCGTTATCAATGGTAAATTACACTGTAATTACACTAAAGAAAGAGAGAAAATGTCTTAAAATTGCACTTTCTTAAAATGATGCAAGGAAAAAGATTTGTTTATTGGAACTCTCATTGTGAAACAGTGTATATTACTTATTGAACACCCCTTTTAATGTAAATAGCTTCAGACTGCTTTTTTGTTATGATAGTTCACATATTATATCTTAATGTATGGATGTATCCAAACATTTTCAATATAAGTGGTCTTGGTATTAATGCATATCTGACAGAAAAAGTCAGCTATGTACTAAAGACAAGAACCTTTAAGATATGATGACGTGAACTCGTAAACGGCTGAATATTAAGTATTTTATTTGAAAAAGCATTTTAAAATTTCAATTCAAAAATGTTTTCACAAACTAAAACGTAATATTCAGTCGTTGATTGTTGTGCCATATCAGTTTGAACCACACTATTAATATATTTATATGTTGTTTACAGTTTTTAGGTTTTCTTAGGTAAATACTCATTGAGTAATAGAAAGATCTCAATAGTCTCAATAGAAATACTAATATACACTTACACAAGCATTAACATACAGCTAGCCTTGCATCAAGTTCCCCCTCCAATCCAATCCAGATATTCCAATATAAAAATGCTCTCATTTATTATTTGGAGTTGGATGGTGACATTTGCTCACATGAAATAGAACATAAAATTTAAAAAAAATAGAATTCATTCGTGCAATATATTCTACATTGGTTACCATGGAATCTGCAGCTAGAACAAACTTTTTATATATAAATAAGAATTTCATATTTCTATAACTTTGTGCTTATGCTTGAAAAGAGTGGGAGGGCAATCCATGTAGGGGGGGGGGGGGTGTCGTGATGCAAGACTGGCATAACATATACTAATGTTAAATAAAACATTATAAAACATTATACCATCAATAGTAGCTAGATCTGATGGTTTATACTATAAAGGTTTTGGTTGTATGGTTAATCTGAAGACTATTATCATTATGATCTCATAGTTTTTTTTCTTATGTATTGTTATTCAGGAAACTGTCCTCCTTCACTTTCATCTGTACTTTACAACTTTAAATCTGTAAAGAACTAAAAAAGTTTCATTTTCCAAAATCTTGTGATGACACTGTTTTCTAATTCTACACTTACTAAACATCTACACTTCTTACAAAAAATGAATCAACGCTCATTTTAAAAAATTGTATTTATTTTAAATCATATACTTTTTTACCTTTTTTGCAAAAATTGCAGCTTTACTCAGAAAATGGTATTTAAACCATAAACATGATGATCAGTGATTAAACAGAAAATTATCTTTTCAGTATTATTTCAGAATTCATGAATATTATATTAACTCCAATTTTATTATTTGCATATATCAGTCCTTAATAAACAGTACAGTAGGACTTTTTATTTAGATGAAAATCTTATTTTTCATATATGAGCAATGTTTTGATGTGTTATAATAAATGCACACGCATGCATGCAAATGCTTACTTTCATAGTACATGTACAAAGTTTGATATAAAATTACTAATTAATCAAACTGAGTTTAATACTTTTTTGTTTTCACCATATTTCAGTTCCTTGACATTTCAAGACAGAATCTATTAAATGATGCAATTAACGCATTGTAATCCAGAAAATAGAAGATCATTCCTGAATTCAGATGATTCTTAGAAATCACTCCTGCCTAATTTACATATAAATCTCTAGCTATTGATTCTTCTTTGTGCTAATCAAAAGTTACCTTTTGTTGACCTAAAACACACATAGATATCATAGCATAATAATATCATCTAATCTTGTTTAGATAGTGCATGCCAAATCTTTTTAAAGTAGATACTGGTACATTTAATGATCAATCTGATCTTGCATGTTACAAGTAACTGATTGTTTAATATATGATCAACACACTGTTCTCAAAGGTTGTCTTGCATTCTTGTAAACAGCATCAACTATGTGTTTGAAAAGTAACCAAGCAGCAATAAATACTGTAAAACCTGTCCGAGGGAACACCTTTTTGTAAGGAACACCTCTCCACAAGGAATAGTTTTTGAAAGAACCGAATATTTTTCCATTGACTTATATTGAGTTAACCGTTGAACCCTCTCTGTAAGGAACAATTGTATAATTATATTTCTCTTTTACATTCAAAGTTTTGAGAAAAGTCAGTCATAATAATTATTGGCGACGTTGTAGCTTTTCCCCTGGAGTCGTCGCCATTTCTTGACCGTTTCTAGACTGAATAAAATTATAACTTTTAAATACACCAACATTCACCTTCCATTTGATTGCATACTTGTATTGAAGAAACTTATGGGATATATTGGATCAGTAAAACACAAAAAACAAAGGTAAGCGTCGGTATTCAGGGTAATTAGTTTGTTTGGCAGTTTGAGCTTAGCGTGTCAGGTCTCAAATCAGTCAATGACGTCACGCACAAAACGCAAAATTAAAATGACGCAAATTAATGATGTAAATGAAAAACGCAAAAATTTAATGCGCAGATTTAATGTGTTTTACAGTATATCATTTAACAATTTTTCAGAGAGTTCAAAAATCCAATAACTGAATTGAGGGAGTATAGTATTGCAGAAAGTCCTTTTTTGGTTTCACCTTATTCTCCAAAACACAAGGAAAAATATAGTTGGTGTAAAATAGACTTGAAGCAGAACAATATGCCCATCATGTTGTCATATAGTAGTATAGCTAATACCCAAATGCCCAATACCATTTGTTTTATGAAATAGCCACTTTGTATGTGCTATACACCCCCCCTCCCCCTCCGCCATACGTTTAGCAACCAGAAGTCTTTGAATGTTTAAATCTTATTCGATTTTTTCAAATTGCCAAACATGATCAAACTTTTACACACAATCCAAAGGGGGACTTCCAGTTTCCAAACCTATGGAGGGGGTGTACTTTTGTTTGCACTAATAGAAATGGTTTAGGGATAACATCACTGTATATTTTGTATTTTTGTGTTCTTATTTTTTAGACATTGCATGTTATTGTTTTCATATTTTAGATATTATACCTTACTAATAACTCATATAATAATAATTTGCATATAAAAAGATTATATATTTAAGTTATATTTTTATGATAATTATTCACAATTTGTTGATATGATAAAGTATATTAAGATTTGAGCTAATTATATTTTCAAAGTGTTTTACCAGTCATAAAAAGATGTCATATACAATAGGTCATACTCAAATGCACATTTTATTGAAAAAAATGTGCCATAAGCAAATGATATAAGATGCTAGCACAGAGTACTTGTCTTCATTTTTGGAAATGCAGCTCAAGAAATTAAGAAGTTTAAATTCAGTATATTTTCATGATTATGACTACCAATAATTCATGAAGTGATTGTACATTATGAAATTTACACATTATGGTAGAAATACATGAGTCAAAATAAAAATATTTTGGTCAAATAAAATTGAAAATAAATGAACTCATGTTATAAACTTTTTTGTGAGAGTCTGGGATCCTGACTTGAATGACATCAATAACTGGTATACATTTATAAATTGTAGATGTATAATTTTAATGATTAACAAATAAGATATTATTTTTGTAATATTTCACAATTGTTTCCTTGAGTTAATTGTTAATTATTTTCGTTTATTTATTTTATTCAGTTTCCCTGAACCAGAAAGGACCTAACCTGCTAACCCGCTAACCAGTGTACCTAAACTCCAGCGTGTGGAACTCACAGCCGTCTCATGCTAATAATGAAATCACTTTTTATTCTCTGCAATGGACTCGGAAAAGTGGTTGCCAATTGGGCAATGGAATTATTATCAAACAGACATATTGTGGCAATCATTTGAACTTTGGATAGAACCATGGTAATATCTAATACATAATAAAGGATTTCAGTAAAATAAAATACAATATGCATCGTATGATGGATTAATCTAATGAATAACCAATGCAATAAAATGTACATTTTCAATTAAATTAAATCTGAAAACCTGGACTTAATTGAACATCTGTTAACCAACATTAGCTAACCAACAATACCTAGATATAGCATGACATTTGTTACATTATTTTCCAATGTGTTAATCTGATTTGATTTGTTATATTAAAGTTTATTTTTTATTTATACATCATTAAGCTATGTACCGTCATCAGGTTTCATTGTATATAGGGTGTCTCAAAAAAATGTACCCAAAAGTATATCAACACCATAGACAAACCAATCAATATTTTCAGACATTTTTTGCATGATCTTGTAGATAAAAGCTGAAAGTTTTTCCCCTATGCTCAGTTTTTAATTCAGTTTTGCCTTTTTGATACTTTGAACAGTTACCTTTTACACCACATATTCAATGTAACCTCATATTTCGATGATAGTCTGCATCCTTAATACTACATTTTTCATCACATTTGATATTTCTGCTGGAATGTTTTGATTTTTGTTCGGATACTGATCTTAAGTTGTTCTAGGTCTCTTAACTTGGGTTTAGCATAAAAATGGTCCTTTAAATAGCCTCAGGGAAAAAACTATGGGCCGTCAAATATGGTGAATAGGGAGGCCCTCACAATGTCTTATAGCCCCCTTATACAAAGAGGTCAGACATTCAAGAAACTGCTTTTGTTGGGATTTTAGTGTAGCTTCTGTTATGTGTATCAATTTGAGACCACTGTGTTTTCATTTGGATATCGTTTGGTCTCCAGGCTAGCCTGCCTAACTCTGGAAGGTAACTCCTGAATCACTTGCCGATAATTGACCTGATTATCTGTGTTTGTTCTGCCATCGTCATCCTCAAACATCTTTCTCTGTCGCTATTTGAAGGAGTGTTTTAATGCTCATTCCAAGCAAAAAGACCTAGAACAACTTAAGGGCAACATCCAAAGAGAAATTCAAAACATTCAACCGGAATTATTATCAAATGTGATGAACAATGTAGCAGTAAGGATACAGGCTGTCATTGAATTATGAGGTTACATCGATTATGTGGTGTAAAAGGTAAAGGGTTAAAGCACCAAAAAGACAAGACTGAAATAAAAATGGTGTATTGGGGAGAAAACTTTCATGTTTTGGCTACATGACCATGCAAAAAATGTCTGAAAATATTGATTGGTTTATCTGTGCTTTTGATATACTTTTGGGTACATTTTTTTGAGACACCCTGTACATAAAGTTTGCAATATGTTTAAATTAGTAAAACTAATGATTTGTTTGTATAAATTGTGAATGACCAAGTATTGGAGGATACTCATTAAAGTGTATTAATAGGTTGTACACCTGGATACATTGGCGTGTGAATTTGCATTATGACAATACAAGTTTTATGCATGTATATATATCTTTGACTCTCTGATGCCATTACAATGACATATTAGTCACTAGAAAACTAAAAACAACAATATACAAAATTGAATTAAAGACTAAACTAACTACTGAATACAAAAATAAAGTAGTTTTAAAATACAATTCTAATTGTTCATGCACAAAACAACAAATATTCTCATTTTGTGTAAAAAGTCATCCGTCCAAGTTATCCGTCCCAACTTGTATAATAGATGGAGTTTGAATGTAAATAAAATTATATTTCAAAATTATATAGAAAGTTCTGTTTGTGTATATTTGTGTTTATTTACATGATTTCCCATATTGGATTCTTGTAGTGTAACGTATATCTACATTTTGAAGAGTATATAATGGTCAATGAAGTACTCATGGGTGTGAAGCGGACGAGGCAACTGCCACTGAAAAGTATTCATTCAGATCTTTCTTCAGCAAAAACGAAATGAAGTTCAAATGTAGTAATATGTACCTCCTGTAGCCTAGATTTGCCTCACATGTTTACATTTGCCTCACCAGTTGTTTTATCCTAGCTATATGCTACTGGTACTAAGTAAATTACATAAATTGGCCATCATGAATACTAATCTAGTAAAACGTTAATTTGTATTTTTGATTTTCAAGTAAGGCACCATTGAGACAATGCAAGATTAAATTTGATAATTTCATGAATTTTTCTAGTTTATTCAAAACAAGAATGAAATAAGAAATCTTAATATATAGGCCATTAAATATCCTAGTCATAATACTAGGGGGTGCGATAACAGTCAGTTCATGTTCAGAGGTCACATAATAAAGGTCAGTTTGTATATGCAATTTTATCTTTATGTTTTGATGTCCAATGCTTTGAATGAAGTTCAGATCGAAGGTTTGATGTCATGGAAATGTCAGTTCAAGGATACAATGGCGTGAGTAAAGCTCAGTCCAATTACTCAGATGCGAGTAGGTAGTTACAAGTTTCGCCACCAGGTGGCTGACTCGGGGGAATTAACATGGCAGGGTATTACAAAATTCCCTTAAACTTGAATATGCATCAGTTTTAATGGTTCTCTTTTGATATTACCTTTATGTATCTGATAGTTATACAAATTAAAATATGTCCAGTAAAAGAAAATATTATCTGCCCAACACAATAAAAGATATTTCACTTTTTGTGGTTTTACAACATGGGCTCTATGGGGAATCTCCCCGACCTAGAAGTCACATTTTCAAAGAAAATTAAATTTTCAAAGCTGATAAAGTCTTTTCAAAACCACATTTCTAAATGTAATTTTACATGTAGATTCCAAATATGACATCAGTTTGACTGAATTGTGAATTTTTAACAACGTAAATCAAGATTATTTCTATTCGCATCTGGGATATTGGCTGATGTGTATAAATGTAGGTCCAAAGGTCAAATGTGTCTAAGTCTGAGATAAATTTAAAGTCCCATTGATGCAAAAAAGAAAGTTAAAAATACCAATGTCAAATTTAAAAGTCAGTTTTATTGTTCAATGACTGTCATATGTAAAAGTCAGTTTAAAGGTTCAATCTCACTTGAAAAAGTCAGTTTAAATGTTCAATGTCGCATGTAAAAGTCATTTTAAAGTTTTAATGTCACATTTAAGAGTCAGTTAAAAGGTTCAATGTCACATGAAAGTCAGTTTAAATGTTATGTCGTGATTAAAGCTCAGTTGAAAGGATCAATGTCGCATGTAAAAAGTCAATTTTAAGGTTCACCGTGTTTTAAATTAATGATAAAATCCGCCATATTGGTAACGTTCACTTGCGTTTGCGGTATTGTGGTATTTAGTCTGGTATTTGTCTATTCATACGAACTTTGCCCTGTAGTACATAAAAACCAATGAGAGAATAGTCCCCGATAAATCGCACATATAAATGTTTACAGGTGTACAATATTCTAAGCTCACCTGGATTCATAAACACCACGCGCTTTCAATATTCTATGTGTACGATGAGAGCTTACACATGTTACATTGAAGGGCGGTGTATAACTTGAAGCATGGACACTATATACTTTATAAAAGAACACAACAACTGCGTAATATGGAACTCTACAAACATGTTGATTTCTAGATTATTCAATGCAGAGAACACATACAGACAATGTTTTTGTTTGAATGGACTGTGTAATGCATGAAAAGGGAGTCATTTCTATACACAATTCATTACTCAGTGGACATTTTCGGTGAGTTCTCGAGTATTCTTACAAATAACTGCCATATTATGGCTGTATGGTAACATACCATCCAACGGGCATCTAACCTACTTATCGATTCCTTCGATTCCATGTGTATATCATAATAGGGAATACAATGCATGCCAATAACTAACGTTATCGTAAAATAAAATGTCACCCGGAAGTGACACGGTTATTCACAAACCCAATGTTAACTGCGTTACATATACAATTATTATTTCAGATGATTTGGAATGACATCGGCGGTATATGGATAGATATGGCTTTTCCCAGGTAACAACGCTGTAACAATTGGAATATTATCAACATGATGGCAGTGATACGGAAGTTCAAGTTACACACAATGTTATTTGCTGTGATATCCATGTGGATTTTGGGATACTTACTTTTCATGTACCATTGTAATACGACTGTGAATCCTCATGATACGTCTTCCAACGATAATCCAAACCATGACTTGATCAGTAATAATTTGGTAAAGAATGAACTTTTAGATCTCACAAGACAGAACACTCATTTGAGAAAAACAATTGACTCTTTGAATCACAATATCCAGGAGATGAATGAAACTATAGAATCATACAAGATTAAACATCGGGGTGGTATGGATCTGATTGCACACAGAGGAAATTTGAGCAACTACAAAGGTATGTTTTGTACACTTCCATAGTTCAAACTTAAAGTCACATTTGCAGAAAAAATCACATGTAAGAAGAGACACACTCACTCATTTAATTGAATAAAACATTAAGGAAAATAACAAATCGCGTGGATATAGTGTATTATACATTCATACTTAATTTTTCTTTGTTTCAGTTGACCAAAACTTTGAGTCTTTAACAAGAAGATACAAAGGAGGCATCCACCAACTGTGGCAGTATCTTAAATCAGAACTTCCGTTATTTAAAAGCAAATTTGAAGGTGATAACAAGGATATCAAAGATACCATTAAAGCAATTGAAGACCGGTACATGGCGATAATAGCTGCACAAAAACTTGCAAACAAAGCAGATGGTTTAGATGAACTAAGGCGCAATGAAAGTGAATCTCTAAAGTTATTGATTCGGAAAAGGTTGCTCCACATTCAGAATCCACCGGAGTGCACGACAGCAAGAAAGTTGATATGTTCTTTGAGACATAAATATTGTGGATTTGGGTGTCAGATTCACCATATCACATATTGCTTTATAATGGCGTATGCCTCTAAGAGAACATTGATCTTAGATGATTCACTGTGGTCTTACTCCAATAAAACACATGGAGCTTGGGAGAGAATGTTCCTTCCATTATCAACATGTAACATGACAAATTCAGCAATACCTCCAGTCAATGTGTCATTATCTCCACGTGATGTACCAAAATCAAAATGTGATAGATATGGACTGGACGATTTCTTAGTAAATTGCAGGAATGAGCAGACTGTATATTGCCCAGTTATTGAGAAGATGAAGAGTTGGAAGCCAAAACAGCTCCCCTACGCCGTACCCGAGGATATTGCTGAGAGACTTGGCCATCTTCATGGTAACCCGATTGTTTGGTGGATCGGTCAATTCGTGACATACATTATGAGGCCAAGTCCTCGACTGAACTATTACATAGAGGAATCTTATTACCGCTTAGGCTTTGACTTAAAGGCGCCTGTTATTGGTATGCATATTCGTCGTGGTGATAAAATTCAGTCTGAAGCCAAGCTTCATGAATTGGAGGAATACATGCAGCATGCTGATGAATTCTATAAACTGTATGAAACCATGGAAAATAGACCAATTCCTAGACATATATACCTTGCTACTGACGGTGTTAATGTTTATAAAGATGCTGTTAGTAAATACAGCCAGTACACATTCATGGCGGATGAGAATCAGGATGATTGTAGGAAATGCTTCAAGCAAGATAACGAAGTTGGCCTACAAGCAATTGCAATAGATGTTTTTCTTCTCTCCAAAACAAACTTTCTTATCTGTACCTTCTCTTCTCAGGTGTGTCGATTAGCTTATGAATTGATGCAGGGATTACATCCAGATGCGCATGATTATTACGTATCGTTAGATGATGCGTACTATTTTGGTGGTGCTTTGCCTGGTGAAGATGCCATTGCTATTTATGAACACCATCCACCTCAGTCACAATGGAAAGAAATCAATCTGAACCCTGGAGACAAAGTGACAATCATCGGACACCAATGGAATGGTTATTCATACGGCACTAACCAAGATACAAGAGAAAGGGGACTTTTCCCAACTTATAAAGTTGATGTCAGGATAACAGTCGCTAAATTTCCCACATATCCATTTATTCAAACCTGATTTAGCACTTACCTCATCCAGTTAATCATGTCGCAGAGTATATTTCTTTTTTACAATTTTCTAAATAAATGCATCAGATGCTTACATGCTGACGTTTGTTGAATAATTATACAGTTTGTGTTCACTGAAATTATTCCAAGTATAATAGATGGCATACTATGTCAGCAGGTCATTCAAGCTGGAAAGCAGAACACTGTACCAGAAACACACATTTGCGCCAGTGTCTGACCTTCAACTTAAAGAGAAATATTTTCTTGCATAATTTCCTTCCAAGCATTCATTTAATAAATCTTGTTAATCTTTATTCATTGACATTGTATTGGTACTTTCCGTAACAATCGGATTATCCAATAAGTGAACAATACAAGACGCTTTGTGCTAGAGTTTCAGTCTTTAGAATTCATGTGTGTCCAAATCCATGTTGTGTTTTAAGCTTATTCGACTTGGAAACTGTATTCCATATCTGGGGTCTCTGGCATCAACAAACCTTTCGATGGCACTTTAGTAGGCGAGATTGATACACAAAATAAAGTTTGTGTTTTTAAAACAATCGCTGGTTAATCTGTCATATTCAGTTGTCAAAAGATGTTTCGAGCCTTTATATACGATTTCGTTCTACTGGCAGTGTTGTTGGCCAACCAAGGTAAGCATTGATACATATATTCTTTTTCAAATAGAATTAGAATCCTTTTAATTCCTATAAAATATAAATTCCTGTCTTAGCCTCGGTTAACTAAATTTTGCCAATTTGGTGACAATTTGACATGCTATATAAAATACCTGTGTTTTGTCCTGTAAGTAACATAAGACGGTTGTCCACACAAAGTTATGAAGTAAAATATTTACTCATTTACAGTCATTGTCAGCCGTAGTGCATGTTGTGTAGGCCATATTTTATTTGTCTGCTTCGGCCATACCATGTAGTCCCATCCAGTAAGATCTTTTCTCACACATTCAATATATTTAGTAAGATCTCTTCTCACATATTCAATAAGTAAGGTTTGCTCATTTTGTTTTTTTTCTTTTGATTTTAGTAAATGTCAGTCGATGTGTGTTTTATTTATCTGCCTCCACAACGCCAACCGTGCTTACATCACCGAGATGGCCAGCCAACTATGCAAAGTAAGTTTACTTACAATATGTTTCAATGAGGAAATAGGTAGGGAAGACAACGTATATGACTATAAGCCCAAATTAGATCATCCTCCGAACACAGGCCTCCAGAACTCGTACCTCCTTCTTCTTCTGGAAGAAGGAAGAAATGTAATGGATGAGCCCTGCGTTCGGAAGATGCAGATCTTTACTCTCAGTAGAATGTCAAAAATATGTCAGTTGGATAAAATTGTGAAAGAGGTCTATGTATCTTGAGGAGGTTAAAAAACAACACTACATGAGGTGAGGCAGGTCCCAACAGCATTATTACAAATCCATAATCATAATGGTCGTGCAATAACTACTCACTTGATACACTTTAAACATTATCCATCCATCTATCGTGGACAGCATTATTCATTGTATTTAATTCACCTAATTGGTGCCTTTTTGGTCTTTCAGTAATTTAGATGAAAGCTGGACCATTATCGCATACAATTATGGCTATGTTGTGCGAATTCGCATCGACACCCTACAGCTGGAATCCACCGGAGGATGCAAATTTGACTTCATTTCAGTATACGAAGGTAAGATTTCGCATCATATTTACCAATAGTATTAGCTACTAATTTTACCATTAGTAAATAATTAATTTACTGCAGTAAATAATTTATTTGGAATGTAGAAACTTATATCATTTATTGCATGTTAACTCAACTTACAAGAAAAAGGTTTAAGTGAGCCCCCAGTTAATACTCAAATTAAAGTACATCATCATTCGACTTTGAAACAAAGCTTATTTTTTGTAGTACTGTAGATTGGTACAATGTATATGAAGTCAGAGTTAAAAACGAAGCTCTTTTAAATGCAATAAAAGATAAACATGACATCTTACGATCATTGTAAAGTGTTTAATGATTAAAGGGGTTTATTTGTTTGGAAGGAGACCCACACATTTTACCGTGACCTACGTCGAACTGAATTCTAGATGTTAGGGTGATATTTCCTTTTTCAATATTAGTGCATATATTTCTTGTTTTTCAATATTAAGTGCATATATTTCTTGTTTTCCAGGATTGGCTGAATCCAATGTTTTGTTCAAAAAGTGTGATTCAACAGATGAGGGTCTAGTGCATACATCAAGCACAGATACAATGGGCATCTCTTTCCATACAGATGATACACATGTGTTCCAGGGCTTTCAGATTTCATATTGGGCAGTACGTATAGGCAAGTACATATTTGAAGGATAGCATATGGTTGTTAATGAGGGATGCGTACAAGTATCATACTCGAGAAGATTTAATAAGTAATGTGACATTTTATTCCACAATCTATCTGTATAATAATATAATAAAACATAAAACCGCGCAAAATAACAACCAAAATCCAGGACGAACGCGTTTTTATATCTTACACGTTTTTCTATAACTCAGTGGTCCCGGTTCGATTCCCGGTTAAAGGCGAGACTAGTTTGTGTAAATAAATGCAATGTAATTGACTTCGTTTTCTCCGACTAAGTACTTGTATAGCTAGTCAGACATGATAGAATTAGATGGACATCTTAGAAAGGATTCCCGAGTCTTTTGTCCTTGCTCAAAAGAAAAATAAATAAATGTTCCAGTTTTGAAGTGGTCATCTCCGTAATGTCATATCAACGTTCCATTATACAGTTGGGTGCTTGGTGTGGCTCTTACTTTTCATTTTCTTAGATGGTATCCATTTCTCTGTTGTTATGACTGTCTTGTCTTTTCTATACGTAGATGTCATGGAAACCAATTTCCAGCCAGACGTAAAAAGAACATCACCTGCCTCGTATCTGCTTATATCGTCCTTCACAACCAATTTAACATATCCGTTGCCATAGTTACGTATATTCGCAACATCGACTTCTCTTCCTTTGTGAAACGCATACAAATTGTCTCTGTGTTGAAGATCTTTAAATGGCAAACCAAGCCCGTGTATAATCATACAGTGGCCTGGAAAAATGGCCAAAACGTTGATGCATATACAAATTCGATGATAGGGACTTGGAGTTATTTCATAAAGGGCTAATATTAGCATATACATGTGTTTATTATATCAGTATATATGCATCTATCAACATCTATCAAACATATCATATAGTTATATAAACTACAAGACATTCTACATCTTCATGGTTTCGTCATGGCATTATTTCATGTAATATTCATTAATTTAAAAATGAGTTCTATCTTACCTGTGATAGAAAGTACGTGTTTTTCTCCCGTTTCCTCACTGCTCACTTCTAATATCCCTCCTCCAGGTGGCGCTGAATGTCTCATCGTGCCCTTTGCGGTCATGTATAGAGTCGCATTAGCGTCAACCGTGTCATCTAACGTTTTGTTATCACCCATTGTTTCTCCAGATTGCGGCCAAGCACGCAATTGATACAAATATGTATAAACGTTCTCAATTAGGAGTACTGTTTGTCCAGTTTTGCTACACAGTTATATTTGACGAATATGATCACAATATAGTTGTAATTTGCTACTTTAACATCTTTATTGACAAGTTCGCAATGATGGATCGTCTAACTTTAAAAGGCTACCTGCAATCCACGTATATGTTGCAGATAGGGATTTGAGATTCAGCTAATATCTGAGTACCAGGTATCTATATGTCTACAAAGTAACGCTAAGAAACAATGTCCAATTTCGCCTAACTTATGTTCAAGTAATTTGTTTAATCCTTTCTAATTGCTTATAGTGTTAATGGATGTTTTCCTCTGTATAAAAATCAGCCCTATATTGCAACAACAATTTCATTTAATAAATTGCAAAAGTGACTCGGTGTGCTCATTATATTTTAAAGGTCGATATAATCTCATAGTCCCAATCCAATCATCGGAGTTGTTCTTATTCTGAATATTGAAACTCGTCCAGATGTCTGTAATGCGTCTTTGTTTAAATCTAAAATCCTGTCATCTCTTGGACCAAGGCGGCTTCGATAATCCAATATTTCAACACTCTTCCTTCGAACAATATTAAAGCAATTGTTGAAATTATCGAACACGGAAAAACATTGGACGCCTTGTCCTTTATCGACTTCTTGGAAGCTAACGCTAGGTTTATTTCAAAGTTATGCAATAAAATGATGAATTATTCTCCGGGTTTCGATCAATTTATATTGATGATTATTCTCGTAGTTTATACAAGCTCCTTGTCTAAGTAGATTCTTGCTGTTCATGAAGGCGGATCGTAGAAGTTTGATCGCTCAGTTTCAAACCAGTTTATTATTGTGCTTTGTTCATATTGAATAAAAACATCCAATCGAGATTACGTAATTGATGCAATAGCACGAACATCTCGTTTGATTCATATGTCAATGCAAGGAAATGCATACATGCAGTCACGCATGATTATTGTCATCATATGTAGAATAGTTTAGAGGACTATAGATCAAATGTCAGAGAGTGGTAGACACAAAATCCTTTGTTTCAGTCTTTAATGCAATGTAAAGCTCGATCTACCTGCATCCTCTAAAGATCAATAATTTGCGTCCTATCGATATATTTTCCCTGTCTGCGATACTTTCACTTTTGTCTGTCAAACCCGGAGTCTTTGTGTTTCATTAAAATACATATTGATTTGTAGATTCTAATTAATAGGCAGTTATTTAATAACTTTACCTGTAGTTAACTGCTATCTTTCGTGATCTACCGTCTATAAACAAAGAAATATTGGATATCGGGTCATGTTGATCATGCAAGTTTGCAAGATCGATCGTCAATGGCAGACAAACGTAAATGTTTATGGAGATAATCAATGAGACCAGCTGATCGCCAAAATAAACAAATGGGTGGTGAAACCTCGCCACTCAGATTGAACATGTACCATTACTTCATATACGTTAAATATCACAAATTAATGAATTAATTGGTCGAAACATCCATCCGCGAAGATCATACTAGCCTTAAATGAGACATTTTTGCAGATACGACAAAGCCGTCAATTGATGCATGTTTTCAAACCGTGCATCTAACAGACAACGAATTGTATAAAATCAATTAGTCGGAAACTCTCCTTTAATGAACATTATAGATTTAAAAATACAAATGTGTATTTGCAGGTACGCCATCAATTGATGCATGTTCTCAAACCGTCTATCTGACGGGACACGAGGACAGGAATAGACAATTACTCTACTCCCCAGGTTGGCCACAAAAATACCCTAAGTAAGTCGCAACCCTGGGGTCGCAACACATTTAATTCAATCCATTCATTTCAATTTGTTCTGATCATTTTACCCTGCACACATAGTTTAGTTATAAACTCTCTTTTAAGAAGCGAAGTATAACAATTGCAAAGGGTATCATTTACATACATGATATAGTTATGATTTACAATAAACAATCAATTTCATTTCAGATTTTGATTTATCATCGATTTTTATACAATAGTCTTAATTAAAGAACATCATCATGAAATACGCAAATCTAAGCTCACCTAATGATAATAGACTAAAGGCTATTAACCAAACGAAATAAAACCAATATCATACCATAATTTTTTCAGATAGGGGATAATAAGTACTAGTATATTGTAGTTATTCATATTTCCCAAGTCAAATCAATTTTGGTTCAACTATTTACTCAATCTTGCTCTCATTTTAACTTTTCAAATTAATTCATAAGTAAATCAAATAAAAATGTATGAGGAAAAGCACAGACATATTTCTATCCATGTCGAATAGCATTGTGTTTGATTGTATGCAACATTCAATATTAAAAAATTATTATATAAAATTCATATTGCAGTAACCAGGATTGCAGATGGGTGATAACTACCAACAGGGCTCTTCTGACGGAAGAAGCTGTTGTAATCGTAGAGCTGTTAGAACTCAATGTCGAGCTTGGGCAAAACGGCAAATGCCCATCTGACTATCTCCTGATCAAAGACGGTAACTGTTTTAAGTCATATATATTCCATATATGAGTAATTTATACAATATGAATACTAATAATTTTGCCATATTGTACCAAACAGAGAAGCAAAGATGACAACGCAATCTCAATGCAAAAATGAAACTTTCCAGTTCACCATTCCCGTGTGGATAATATTCACCAATGAATCATGTTTGATCAATTTACAAAAAGTAAAAAACGCACTGTCCCACTTCATCAATTTCAAAATTAAAAATATAATTAGAAAATGTCATTATAACCACTTTATTAGGAGGCAGCCCTTCGTCTCTACCGTACGAGTTGGTCAAGTGGTGCGAACCCTACAATGGAATGCTTGAGAGAACAGTGGTATCAACCAGCAATACTCTACATATAGAATTCCACTCTGATGCCTCTATTGGGTTTAACAATGGATTCAAGTTGAAATATTACACAGCACCTACTACGCCAACTGTAAATCCTGGTAGGTTTGGAATTATATTTGTACTTTTGGCTTTGTATTTTTACCCTTGATGGACAACACAACAAAACAAATCGCATTAATAATGACTTCGCATTTTTGAACTACACGTACGTTGCCTTAACATCGGCAATTGTAGTTAGATCGCGTTAAAATTAAAATTGCATAGAATATAAGTATAAGTGTAAAGTCAACTAAAAAAATTTGCACATATTTAGAAAGAACAAACCTCTAAAGTGAATAATTAACTTTTGTTGATCATACCTATGTTCATAATATTAACACTCGCAACTTTAAAGACTTCTAAAACACATACAAGTACATATAGGCTACTGGCCAAACTGATAAATTCATGATTGCACGCTAACAACACATTGGATAATTGATTTAATAGCACAGTGCATTGCTTAAAATCATATCCTTATTATGCTTGTATAGTAGAACTGTTGTTACTTCAGCTGTTGATGCCTACAAAGCCTGTGATGTCGGACAGATGGCGATTCAGGCCCAAGATGCGAAGAACATCATATTGTCACCCCCATGGCCCTGGGGTGCCACTACTGAAAAGTATATAACTGTTTAGTCTTGTTAAATCATCATCCGCATTGATGTATTATGTACTATTCTAAATTTCTTAATCTTCCCAATGTATACGTATCTGAGAACTGATATTTCCTTGATAAAAGTATTATAGCTATTATTCACATAGCGCATTTAAGAGTATATTTGGTATCTGTTCATTATATATAAAATAATACACTCAATATAATTAATTTACAATTGCAATGAGCAATCGTTTACTCCCATAGATCCGATTCATTTTTTCTCGATTTTACTGATTGGCTATTTCATTGTGTTTAAATATTACATCTATAGATTCCTAGCATATATTGTACATATAATATTCAATATATACGAGTATAGTCTAATATATATTTTATTTGTAGTCCTTATGAATGCAGCTGGGTAATAACTGCTGAACCCAACCATGTTATCACACTGAACTTAATTGATCTGGAGTTGGACTACCACACGCAATGTCTGTATGACTACCTGACTGTCAAAGAAGGTAATATACAGGGTGGTCGAAAAATGGGACACTCGTATTTCAAAAATAAATATTGATTTTATTTATGAAAACGTGTCATGTTATATACCAGTGGATAGGGAATTTACTTATCTTTAACCTGACTGTCAAAGAAGGTAATATACCTTTACTTAAGGATATATTGTAACCGGGAATGTAACAAACATACCGTTTCTCATTCTTGTTACTTCTATTGCATTTTGCATTATTTTTCTCGTTTTTCTAGGATACCCAGACAGTAGAAATACCCTTGTTCGATGGTGTGGACCGTATTCCACTCTTACTGCAAGCTCATCTATTATATCCAGCAGTAATACCATCTCAATTATATTGTATACTGATGGTACCACTTCAGTGACGTCACAACATTTCACACTACATTACTGGCAGAAAAATGCAACCGTCACACCAAGTAAGCATAACGACATGAAAGAAGAGTAAAACGATTTATTGTATATTCATTTTTTTATTAAATGTAACTTTAAATTAAACAACATTGTATTTTAAACATCTGAACATTTTTTAATATTGTCAATCATGCAGATGTACAAGATGTATTTTAGTTTTCCTGTCTTTACAAATTCCAAAAATGCTTTATTTTCCAGCCGCATCAACAAATGAAGAACGAGTTACTAGACTTGTTGCGGGTGTGGAAAAATCAAACTTATACTCGCCAAACTTCGTCAATGGATATGGGGCAGGGTATTATGAGAGGTGCGTTAAATGACCTTAAATTTAAGGATGGGACTAAAGTAACGTTATACTTTCATGATTCGTTTTAAACTCAAAAACATATAGTTGAAGGTATCTATTTTGTGTCAAGAAATATCATAAGACGTTTGTGTTTTAGCGATTCGGTGTATACATGGCGAATAGATACAAATGATGATAACATGGTGATCAGAATAGATGTCGTGATGTTCCATTTACAAGATGGCGTTAAACAACGCTGTTTATTTGATTCTTTGGAAATAAGAGATGGTAGGATTCCTTATTTTGAATGCAGCACCACAAAATGTAAAAACTTTTTAAACAAAGAAAAATATACATAACTTTTACTTAAATTCGAATTCTTGACTTGAGACAAGAAAACAGTAGGCTACTGTGACTTCTAAAAAATCTACATACTTTTTAAAAACATTGCTTACAATACATTATTCTTTGCCGTCGCCACTGTTGCATATAACTATTTTTGTATGGATTTTACTTAATCTAGTAATACTATAAATAACCATCTGTCACTGTAGTTTATGTTGTGTTTAATTTATGCATTTTTTATATTGTTAATCTTATTGTATTTCATCGGCACGTTGACCATTGCATACTAAATGTAATGCTTCCAGGTCATGATGAATTTAACTCCCCAATACTTGTCACGTGGTGTGGCGTTCTAACTAAAGAAAACGTCACTAGTACAGGACGTTATATGTTCATTAAGCTGAAGACGGATGGATCGTATAACTACGACGGATTTCAACTGAGATACTGGAAAGGTAATACTAATAGACATACACTTATAATGGGTGATAAAAAATATTCAGGGCTATCGTAAATTTTAATGGAAAGAGCAATTCAAAGTATTCTACTCTAAGCACTTTTGTTTTTACTTTCCAGTTCCAAAATACGACGGACTCGATGCTGGAGTCATAGCAGCGATTGCATTGTGTGCTATAGCAGTCATCACAAGCATTGTCATTATCATTGTATGTGGATACGCCATCAAGTCAAAAAAGCATATTGCATGCTGCACGTTTCTTAACAAATTATGGGAACCATCTTCCCGTACCAGCTCTACAGCAAGTCTTCATAAAATGTCGGGCAAAGTTTCACCACGACCTGATCCAGGACCTCAAGATAATGTACTCAGTTTCGGCAATGTTGCAGCTTTAACGGCCAGACTTAAACATAGAGACCTGGGTAAACATACAGAACATAAACACCCTAGTGATGCAGTTAATATCCCGATACCTGCGTTCCAACAGGACGATTTAACTAAGATGTATCACCCCATTGCACTCCCGCCTATACCAAATGCAGATGATCTATACGGAAAACCAAAGCCAAAAAAGAAATCTGGAAAAGGTACTAAAAATTATGCCAAGAAATCGCAACCTGTTATAACCCCTAGAGTAGAGAAGTCCCCATCGGGGCCTGTGTATACTGTGAACATTACAGACGGACTAAATATAGTTGAGTCCGCCGAGGAAAAAGAACGTCGGAAAATGATGAGACGATACAAGAAGGCTATGAAGCTGGTACAGGCATTGGGTGGACATAAATAAGTTAAGAGTATAAAAACAGCAGATGGTATACAATTTAAACTGCTCCAACAGAGCATATAGATATATTATAGAATAAACGTTTGCACTTTGATTTGTTTGAATTAATCCATAGAAACGAAGCAGTAACATAGCTGTAATTAACGGTCGTGTCAATTGCTGTCACCGATCCTCAGATAGATTGACGTTGATCGGATTCATTGTTTCACAATCAATATTCCATGCAGTCGGATATCCCTGCCATTATTTCTCTATTCTAGTCCTTGACAATTGCTCAAAATCACGGAACTTCACATTCAGTCACATTAATATAAACATTTTATACATTATAAAACATTAAAAATAGCCCCTGATGTAAGATGCACTTCAGTTCATATAGGTGCAGCTCTTGGTTCGATGAGAATTTCGTTGATGGCTGAATACTCTGGTTGAGTGACGGCAAAGACAACCGCCTTCGCTATGTCTGTTGGTTCTAAGATTTTGTTGTTGCCACTGCCATCATATTGACCCTGTGCCTGGAAAAAGAAGAAATTGGATGTTTGAAGATACATGTATTATATCACTTTATAAAAACAACTTGAATGACATATGTACCCTACACTGACATTCCTTGAATGGATTTGATTTCTTCATACCATGTTTTGACCATGAGCTTAATTTTTATTTTCTGATATTCCCGTTGATGTGTCAGCCATGTACTTGTGAAGTTTCATTTTACTATGACATATACCTCTTTATCAGTTGAATGCTCGAGTAGTTCGGTTTGGACATCACCTGGTTGAATACACGTCACTTTTACTCCGTAGCTTGCCAGTTCTTGACGCATTCCCTGAGATAATCCTTCCACGAAGAATTTAGTCCCTGAGTAAACTGCTAGACCAGCAAAACCCTAAAAGTAAACGGTTGAACTAATTTACTAAAATGAGAACCTAATTGGTTGTTTTTTCTATTAATTATTGAACAAATGCATTAAGTTAATTCTCATCTACAAAAAAGTATGAAATACATTTAGGTAGTTGATACATGGAGTATACTTACGCGCCTACCAGCATTCGATGACATGTTGACTATGTGACCACTTTGTCTGGAAACCATACCGTCCACTACAGCACCAATACAATTGACAACACCCTAAACATCCATTTAAATTTTATTGTTCAATTTGTGGAAATACTTAACTCTTCTTTATATTATTTTCAAAAACTACAATATAATAGGGGGCTGGTAATTGGTTATTGCTTGGAATCATGAATGAACTAGTAATTGGTATCTCGGGTCATTAGAATATTGTCTTTAGGCTAGTTCATACCTTGCAATTGATATCAATCTGCTTCTCCCACTCATTCTCGTGCAGGTTTTTCATGAGTGTGTAGTACATCACGCCAGCGTTGTTAACTATAATATCCACGGGACCAAGCGTTGTTTCAGTATGACGTACCATTTCACGAACCTAATACATACGACATAAAATTGGCTTACTAAACTCTGAGATTAACATAAAAAGTTTATGATGGTCTCAGCTAAACTACAGAACTACATGAACTATTACACGTTTTGTTCCACGTTTCAATTATTTATGGCACAAAATTATTAATTTAATTGAGCGTTTCATTTGTTTTGAAGGTATAACTTTCCCACCCACCATTTGGAAGTTCAGATATATACAAATATATAGGTGGTGACAATATGATGCTGCAAGGTATAAATGTGAGCTACATATACGGTAAATTGGTCAACATGACACGAAGACCCAGTATCCGAAGATACATCAACAAATTCCAGTGATGCCCTATCCCAGGTCTCTATCTTGAAATTAAGAGGAGATAGAGACTTCATGCAAGATTGCCATTTTTGCATCACCTACTTGCTGTTTGTTAGTGACGTCACATTTACATTTAACAGCCGTTCCTCCGTTCTTTTCAATTTCCTTCTTTATTTCTTGTAGTCTTTCAATCCTCCTTGCAGCCACTGCCACCTTGCATCCTGCTTCTGCCAGCTGTTTTGCAATTTCGGCTCCTATTCCACTCGAAGCACCTGTTACTATGGCAACCTTTCCTTCAAGGGGCCTTTTTCCTATAGAATATGATGCATAACCACGTGAGATGGAAATGCTTGAGATTGAAGATCGAAGCTTTTTTCAGTCAATTTTTGATATTCCAAAGTTCAAATGCTCGTACTACATGTACTAGTTCTATTGCATAGAATCGCCTTCGAGTGAACAATTCTAAATGTAAACAATGACTGTATTAATATGACATAATATTAATACTGAATCAATAGACACTTGTGACTAGCATTGTGTTTCAAACACTGAAGTAGATAGTGACATTCATAACGGCACTACCATTAATTCATATTTTGTG